GCGGATTTGAATCAGGTTTTCTTTATGGTAATACTTATTGGCTCGGTAGTCGTAGTCAGTGTCTCGATACGATAAATACGGCTCCTTTACAAATCGCAGAGCAGAAAATATCAAATATTACGCTGTATCGTGATCCGCATAAGGAGTTTCCGCCATTCGAAATAAATTACTTTGTTGCTCATCTGAGACATAATAGTACTCTTAAATATTACGTAAATGTATTTAATGAAGTAAGTTTATGAGATCTTCATGTAGTAAGAATATGTTTTAACAAATTACGTTGAATATTTAAATATAAATAGAAAATTTATTTTAGAACGTGATTTCGCTCGGACTTTGTTTACCAGCATCGTGCACTATAAATGAACTAGTTCTTATTTTGGAAAGAGTATTTCATGATAAAATTACTTTAATTGATGATCTTTATTCCGTGGATTTCCAATTAATCCAGGTTAAAAATCTAAAAGATGAGAATGAATGGCTATCCAGCAATGCGTTACTTCTAGTCGGGTATGTCTCGAGAAAAATATAAATAACAATATTTCACAATAATAAGATTATAAAACAGAGAGACGCAATATTTCAAATAATTTTTATTAAATTTCAAGTCAGAATTAGTAGAGAAAAATCACCGATATTGACACAGTTTAATGAGACACACTCTTATTTTTCGGAAACTAATCATTGTGTTTTCTTAATATTGATAAAACCATGATCTATATAAAATCAGCCAAATATGCATAAAATCGACTAGAAAAAAATTCTACAAATGCGAAAATAAAATTCTTACGATACTTACGAATTTCTTTTGAGTATCAGGCTGCTCCTTGCTCTGATAAAGTGAACTGTAATTCATAAAATGTTGACATTCTAATAGATCTGGACACGGAGATAACCCGTGAAACGCATAGGTTCTATAAACAAATGATGATATCGACGACCTTTCTCTAATTTTCAAAAAGTTCAAAGACTTAATAAATCCAATATAAGTAAAATGCCTATATAAATTAATAAGAGGGTGATAAAGAATTAATACAAAAATATTTTATTTGCAGTATAACCTTGGCATTTACTTTTTTTATGATAACAATTGGAACGTTATATGATATATTCGTTCATCAAAAACATATGAAGGAAAATGCAACAAATAATGGCAGTAAGCATTATATTCAAAACCTCTAAAAATACTTTTCATTTCAATAAACCATTTGGAGTTTTAATACGCTTCATTTTTCGTCTTCAACAAATCAGATGCATCTTTTTTCTTATTCAAATTGTTTAATAGATTTTAAATCAACAATTTTAATTGTTTTAGTAATAACCAATAATATAAAATTCTTGTGTAGCTGTAATTTTGTATACATATAATTTATTTGTATAAATAGTTTCATTTAATATTATTTTTACTTAATCGAAAAGCATTTTGATTTCTTAATGTACTACTAAAGATTCAGAATTATGATTCAGATGTGAAACATGTATCCAAGGATATAAATATGGAAGTAAATTTGTCTTCATATCATGAAAATATAATTGGAGGAATCTTAATATGTTTCTCCATTTATACAAATACGAAAGAGATATTTCGCACAAAATTAGATACTGGTGCAATATCCGCCCTCCATGGCGTAAGATTTTTAGGCATGTGTTGCATAATCATGTCTCATACAGCTGTTTATGCAATGGATTTTATTGGTAAGTAATTAAAAACACATTTGAATGGATCTCTAGGTTTTTATTTTTTATGTATAATGAAAATTACTTTGTGTATACAGACAATAAAATATGGGTGTGGAGGAGACAGTTTTACCATCTTAACAATTATATAGTTGGTATTAGAATTGTATCAATCGACTTTTATTTTCTTTTAAGCGGATGTTTAGTGACTTATATATATTTGATGAGTAAAATGAACAAAAGACAGATTGAGTCGACTAATTGTAGAGAAAAGTTAATTGAATTATTTGTTCATATAATAAAAAGATTTATTCGGTATGATCTTCGTTACGCTAATATGAGCAACAAGAAAAAATAATATAGTAATTGTAATAAAATTCTTGCTATAATTACCATTTTATTTTTAAGACTGACACCGGCTTACATGATGGTGTTAGGTATATTTCAATTAAGCTCGGTTTGGTTTGATAAGACGTCCCAATTTTATATAAGCGAAAGATCACACGAAACTTGCGCTAAGTATTGGTGGAGAAATCTTCTATACATAAATAATTTTTTTGGTCTTGATGCAATGGTATGAACACGCTTAATTAATATCAGGTTAAAAATTTATTGGGAGACATTAAAATTCTTATTCTAAAATTTGTATACAGTGCATGAGTTGGAGCTGGTATATAGCTAATGATATGCAATTATATGTAATTGCTATGACATTGTTGATTTTGTCGACTACGTAAGTAAACAAGCTATTGATAAAAGTCTAATATGTTCATCGAATAAATTCTCAAATACGTACATATTACGAATTTCAGATATTTCTACACCGCTGTTACGATATTGGGTGCATTTTTAATTGGCTCAATTATTCTTAGTGGTTATACTTCTTACGTTTATGAAATTGTACCATTTCAAACGTAAGTTATCGACATATTTTGTTTATAAGAATTAATTAAGAAAACGGTCTTTTTATTGTTATAGATTCAATGAACGTTCAAAAGAGTTTAGAGATGTTTTTTACTTCTTACCATGGTTCAGAATAAGTCCATATGTTATTGGAATAATTACGGGTTACATTTTAACAAAAACAAAGAATAATTTGATCTTGAAAAAGGTAAAGTATTATTTCTATTTTTATAGTTCAACATATAAGTTCAATAAGAATTATAAGGATTAGTTAATATCCGAAATGCATTTATAAAAATTGATTAAAATAACGATAGAAAATCTATAAGCACGTCATTCATTGATATACTTCATTTGCTTTTTAATGCACTTGGTTCAGCGCTTAATAAAATTTATATCAGAAAAAAATGTTTTTGATTAGTCTTTCAATCATGCATACATTACTTTTTTATGAGGTTTTCGATTTGACGAACAGATTTTAAATAATTCGAAAATATGAATAATTATCGTTTCTTTGATAATATTGCAAAATAACGTTTTCTATTGTTTTAAATAAATTTTATAAATGTATTCAAACATTTTAATATTTTATTGATTTCCTCTGGCAAAGAATATAATTATTGAAATATTCGTAAATTGTATAAATTATAACTTACTAATTTTTTTTTTATAAATTAATTAAAAATGTAAAAACAAATAAATAGAAACATTTTATAATAATTCAATATATATTTCAGGAAATTATAATTTCGTGTTGGTGTCTTGCTAGCGCTTGCTATGTTTTTGTATTTAATCTTTATGGGAGACACATGTCCGTTTTGGCTACTGCAGTTTATGTTGCGCTGTACAAAGTGTTTTGGGCAATACCTATAGCATTAATTATAATAATGTCTTTTCATAACCCCGGAGGTTTGTTTATTTATTAATATATAATTATATTATATTAAATTGGCATATTGTCGTAGTAAGAGTGACGTATCATTTTTCAATTAGTGTTTCAATTTAGAAACATGTTTTAATAATAATATACGCTTACTTTTGTTACAGACATTATTACTCGGTCCCTATCATTTAAAATCTGGGTTCCATTTAGCAGACTCACGTATTGCGCTTATCTTTTACATCCTGTCATCATACGATCGATTTATTTAAGCAGTGAAACAACAGTTCACTTTGAATTTTTATTTATAGTAAACACACGAACATTTAAAATTCTAACGTAAGAAATAGATTAGGAAAATGTATTTATTCCTTTTTAATTTTTGTTTTCAGATGGTTACGGGTGTGGGATATATTGTGATTAGTTATTTTTGCTCTTATATATTGTCTGTGATGGTGGAAATACCCTATATCTTGTTGATGCGAATGTTCATTCAATATCGTATTATAAACAAGTATAAGATGTTTGATATAAAAATATCGTAATTTTGCATTTAAATGTATTGTATACGTATAAATACATATACACGTATATATACATATGTGTAATATTATATTAAGAGATGTTGTTAATTAAAATTCATGCAATTATAAATTATTATACTTATACACTTTATCATTAATATTAATATATTATAATGATAATACAAAATAACGGAACATTAATTCAAATTTGTCGCAAAGTTATATTTTAATTCAATTATATTACAAATTTTTTAATTACACTATTATAAATTACGAGATTGAGAAAATAATTGTTATTTTTATTAAAAGGTAGATTACAGAGAATTATTAAGTGATATACTTATTACGCTTAAGTTTTATAAATCGGATTATGAAAAGTATTTCAAAACTAATAAATAATAGATCTCTCTTTCACTCTCTCCCTCTCCCCCCCTCTCTCTCTCTCCCCCTCTCTCTCTCTCTTTCTCTCTCTCTCTCTCATAAAGTGCATTATATTAGAAATGAATGTGCTAAGTATGCCAAGTCAGCTACTGTTTTCTATGCAAAATTTTCTATACAGTGAATTTTGGAACATGTTATATTTAAGTTTCTCTATTAAAGACATTTTATTTTAATTGCATATTTTTAACAAATAATAGTGCAAAATTTTTTTATTATGTAAATCTTTTAAAAAATTTAAATAATTTTATGTAAATTTTTTTACTATGTTTAGCAACACAGTAAAAAAAAACATTTATTTCGATATGCATAAAGCCATAAAAACGTACGTTATATTAGGCGATAACGATTATGACAATTCGCGATTATTTACATGTATTATATTTATAAAAAGTATTGTACATGTTAACGACCGTTTATAATATGCAAAGAAACATTATTATTTTTTATAACATAGATGAAGAATATCATTATTATTTGATACAATATTTATATTTAATCATTTATTAGAATGTTCATCGCAAAACATAATTGCTAGGCTTCTTTGCTACAAGCCGATTCAACTTCCGATTCAATTTTCACTCCGCAACATCCAAATATATTTTCATGATATCGAAATCGTATTTCTTGAGTTCGTCCCAAAGAAGCTCAACGAGTTTCTTTATCTGTGTATTTTTATTAAAATTATCAGTTTTGTATAGGGTGGCTATGTGGAAATAAACCATTTTATCTCTTGTTAAATATATTTTATATAATATAAATGACTTCCTATCTAGCAAAAGTTAATATGTCTATAAAATATTGTACTATATCTGAAGAGATTTTCTGACACCCAGAATTTATCTCCTTAGAACTATGGGATATCGATGGGATATATTGTTGTATAAATGTAGATACTCTCTAAATTCTTTGAAATGGAATCTTATTTTAAAGAGCAAAAAAAATTGAGTCAGCCTGAAAAAGACTGGCTCAATTTCCAATCTTTAAGCATGAGATTTCACTCTTCAGAGTGCATTTACCCATGGTATTTTTTATTACGTTCATGACTACTTTAGACTGCAAAGACAAGTTAATACTTACGTATATGGTACATTTCAAAACATTTTTTATTACATTTATTAACATGAAAAATAATACTAATTTTAATACAATATTTGTATCTAATAATTTACATTAAACTTGTCACTTCAGTATGTTACTAATTCATTCAACTTTTACTCCAATAGAAGACAAATTTGTAGTAATGAATTTGAATCCATATAGTTTTAATTCGTTTGAGAGAAATGCAATATTTGCTGATGCATTTGTGTATAATAATGGACACCAAATGTATGCGTATAATTTGTTATTACCAATGTTTGTATATTTTGCCGAAAATCCATGTCTTTGCGCTATTTCGTATATTTTATCTAAATTGTAATGCGATATATCTAGTAGTTGTAATAATTTTCGGTTCTTGCAAATGTAAGTCTGTGAGAAACATACATTAAAAATAAAACATACAGTTTTATGATGATACATAGATATGATTACATAGATATTCTCATATAAAACATAGATTGTCTTGTAAAGATATATAACCCAAGAAAATGGTAAAAAGGGAAAATGCAACTATGGACATACAATAGAACATTTTTTATAATTTATGTAAAACTTACATCTAACTCTTTGTGTTGCTGTATTAAAAAATTATTTCTTGTTTCGGTACTGAGTTCATCATTTTCGCAAATTTTGTCAAATTTTTGTAATGTATTACAAGCCATATTCGTTACAGTGTCAATATTGTTCAAGATAGAATTGGCAATATCGGGAAACATATTCATTAACTCTGTCCTTTGTTGCTCCTGTGTTTTTAGATTTTGAGTTTGTTTTGAATCAACTAGCAGTATCGTCACGTTTGATACACTAACTATTGGTATTACATGAATTTCTTCAAACTGATATTCTGCCAGGAAGCTATATATACATAAGACCATGTCGATCTCCTTAGATTCGGGAAAAATTTTTTTGCAGCTTATAGCATATAATTCAATCTTTTCAAGATCGATGTAATTAAAATTATTATTATGAATACCCTTTTGTACATGTGACCAATGTAATAAGCATGCCGCGAAGCATACTATAAATGCTGGACAAGCGAATTCTTTATCCATGAATTTTGTAAACGAAGATATATTAAACGATTTTATTTTAATTTGCTCTTTGTAGGTAATATAAACGAGCAAATAATAGAATATTTGCATGATTACTCTGTGATTGGTTGGGATATATAGATTGGAAGTATATTGTAACACTTTTTCCTGTAATAGCTCCATATTCTCGATGCAACTGTCATATAACTTTAGAAATTCTTGTAATGATACGTTATAAAATAGATAGATTTGAGGAATATTTATTATAATATTGTCCAAAGAAATTGGTAATTCGTTGAATGTCAGCGTGGTACGTAAATTTATACTAGCTATTAAACCTTTTTTAGCGTGTTCACCGAATAAGCTTAATGTATCTGGTGCTGATATTTGAAATTGAACCATTTTTATGAATAATTGTTTCTGTTATGTAAAGCAGTACCTTTTAAAAGTTGTGTTAAAGCAAAACAATATATATCATTGTTCATATAAATTTATTAAATTTCCACATAATGTGAACTTTAATTTCTAAGTTTTGTATGTAATTTAATATAGTTCCTTGTTTTATCCAATTGTTCTGATATTTGCAATGATAGCGAGAATAAATAATAGCAATTATTTTCCACGGTTTTATACACAATCTGAAGTGTTATCAATTATTGTAACATTACATAAAAACTAATTTATATATTTTAAATAAACGATATTAAAGTGTGCTTTTATATGTTTGAATCTAAAAATTATTTTCTTTACTTTAACAATGACTTTCTTGTTACTTACTTGATAAATAGGTTCGATATAAATGAGTTCTTATTGACAGATACTTATTGAAAGATAACGATTATTTAAGCTAAAACAACTTAAGTTATTACTTCCTGTAACAATCCTTACATGATGAAGAATCTAAAGACACTAACGACGAAATTTTTGCTTACGAAAAATAATAACATGCGTATAGGGTAAATTTATTTATTTTATATTTTCCTTTATTATTATTCTTCTATAATTAAATGTTTTTAAATTGACGATTTGTACAGGTTGACTGTGGGAATAAATCACTTTCTCATATCTTTTGTTAAATTTACTTCATATAAATGAACAATGTCTTATTTTTAAAAAAATAATTTTATAGATTGCTATGTAAGAAATTTTTTAACAGAAATTTTTGTCGTTCACAAAAACTTTTGTCGTTCGGAATTACACGCCACCACACGGGGCAATGTAGAATCAGTTTTATTTAAAATTATCGTTTATATTAATAATGTATAAATGTTTATTATTGTAAACTAATTTGAATAAAGATTATAATTACTAAATAATTGTCAGTTTTATTTAACTTTTTCAAGTATAATTTCCTCATTCCCTGCATCAAAATTATCAAAAACTTATAATGAATTTTAACTTAAACGGCGTATGCATTTAATGTGTTTGTCTTTCTATAATACGTCTGACTATCACTGGATGCGAGAAATAAAACGTTACATTTTAATGTACTACAATAATAGTACAATAAATTAGTAATGTTTCTAGTCCTCGTTTATCTTATGTTCGTAATTCTTATCCCATTCGTGATTATTTACTATATATATGTATGAAAAATATATGTTAATAACTATTTTAATAATATGCTTGAAAAAATTTCTTTTTTATCGTTCATATAAAGAATATCCTGGTAAAAATTGTTTATAATTTCTCATAATTTTTCATATATATAATTTGTGAGAAATTATGTGAAATTATGAGACATTTCTTAGATTTTCGAATACTTTCTCATATCTTTCCCAACAACGATTAATAAAAAAATATCATAATTTCTTATAACGATCCGATAAGAAATTATGAGAAATTTTTTGGATTTTCTAATACTTTCTCAATTTTTAACCAACAACAGTTAATAAAAAATATTATAATTTTATATAACGACCCCTTTCTCATAAATATTTATAAAATGCAATGAGAAAAATGACTTTTTTATGTTCTGTTATCATTCGTAAAATTTCTCCTTTCAGATATGATGTATGTTTTCATATTTTCTCATACAAAGTACTTGATTTTTCATATTTTATCATACACCTGAAAACAATTTTTCTCATAACTTCTCATAATTTTTCAGAAATCCCAAAATGTCTTTAAAAAAATGTCATTTAACTATAGATTTTGCGTTTCCTCATATTCATAAATACTCATACAATCTGATTGCATTTTTTGAGTATTTATGAATATGAGAAAGCGCACAATCTACAATTAAATGTGACATTTTTTCTGAGACATTTTGGGAATTCCGAAAAATTATTAGAAATTATGAGAAAAAATGTTTTCAGGTGTATATGAGAAATAAAATACTTTGTATGAGAAAATATGAAAACATACGACGTATTTGAAAAGAGAAAATCTTGCAAATGATGACAAAATATATAGAAAGTCATATTTTTTTATTGCACTTTATGAGTATTTATGAGAAAGCACACATTCTATGAATAAATATGGCGTGTTATGTAAAAAATTGTAAGACGTTATTAAGAAATTATGAGAAATTATGAGAAAAATTTTTATCAGGATATTAATTTTAATACATTATTTACATTTAATCATTCTAGAAGCATGCGAATAGTTCGAATTCAAATTAAATCGAATTGAATCAGTGAATTTGATTCAATTCATTTTTGAATATGTGAAATTCAAAATCAAATAAGTTCGAAACCTTCAATCAACAATGGTTTGATTTCGAATCAATCTCCTATTTTATTTGCTTCATTTATGCATGACTCTCATAAATTGAAAATTATTTATTTTCTTGTATAATATATTTAAAAAATCTGAAACGTTGTTGAAAATACTTTATTACTTCTAAATTAGTTTTTAATTTAAATCCGGTAAAATTTGATTAGAATTTGATTCATTTTCAAATAAAAAAGATTCGATTTGATTCGATTCAAAAATTTCAAATTTAATTTGATTCGTTTTTGAACATATTATCAAAGATTCGTTTCAATTTGATTCGATCTCACAAGTCATAAATGCTTGATTTTGCACTCTAATTTATATTAGGCTTGTGATTTTAAGACATCAGTTTTCTAACTTTCACTCCGGAAGAAGCTAAATTCGTTTCCGTGACATCGAAACCGTGTTCCTTCAATTCGTTCGAAAGAAGTTTGCAGGTAATGTTTGGAGGTGCATATTGGTTTTCTGGGTACCATATATAGAAGTAGAATCTATCATCGATAATTATACGCCTTCCGGACAATCCATGCTTTTCGACAATTGAGCATATTTTATCAACATTATTGTAATTCAGTAACAATTTTAAGTCTAACAATCGTAATAATCTTTGATTCTCGCGAATAAGAATCTGTAAAAAAAACATGTGTTGGTACGTAAATTCTTACTACAAAGTAGTTTCTAGTTTAAAAATTCGTCAATGAATATGACATGTCAATGAAAAACGCAACTATGGATAAATAACGTTTTTTGTAATTTATGTAATAAAACGTACCTCCAACTCTTTGTGTTGCTCCAAAAAACGATTATTTCTCGTTTCGAGAGTGATTTTATTATTTTCAAAAGTAACGGTAAGATTATATACTGCCTCAAAAATGTCATCCATTACATTCTCAAGGTTATTCAAGATGGACTTGACAACTTCGAATTTTTCAAATTTCTTGATTCCTTCGTTCCAAGCTTTCGAATTATACATTTGTTTTGTATCAACTAGTAGTATCGACACGTTTGGTAAAGCAAACATTGAATAAAATACTTTTATATTCTCAGTCTCTTTCTTCAGATATTTTATCATTGAGCCGTATGTGCATGCGGTTACGTTAGTCTTCATACATTCCGCGGGAAAAATCTTTTGGCAAAGTGCAGCATATGATTCAATCCTTTCGAGATCGAAGCAATTAAAATTATTGCGAATACCCTTTTGTACACGCGACCACTGTAAAAAGCATGCTGCGAGACATATTGTAAATGATGTCGGACAAACAAATTCTTTTTTTAATTTCGGAGATACTGATATTTTGAAAGATTTTATTTTGATATTTTCTTTGTACGAGATATATATAAGCAAAAAATAGAATACTTGTATGTATTTCTTGTTGAATACTTCATGTGCATAACTATGATCTATTCTAGCATTTTTTATTAAATCTAGCACTTTTTTATGTAATAGCATGATATCCATATTTTCGACGCAAGTGTAATGGAACTCAAGAAATTCTTTTACTGCTACGTCAGCAATCAAATAAATGTCAGGGAAACATAACTCAATTTTATCGTTCTCCTGTAATTCGGTGAATAATAGCGTAGTACGTAAATCGATAGGAGCAAGTATACCTTTTTGATGACTTTCGAATAAGTATAATATGTATGGTGCAGATATTTCGAAATAAATCATTTTTACGAATAATAATTTATGTTATGTAAAGTATCTTGTAAAAGCTAAGAAATCAAATTTGCGTTGATTTCTTATATAAATTTTCATGATATGTGTAATTAAAGTTTCATCGAAATTTGAAATAATCTTTTATTTTATCCGATTATTCTGGTACTTGCAATGACAGTAGGAAAAAGTGAATAATGTCAATAATCATAAAATATTTTCCAAGGTTTTATCAACCTAAATTAAAGATTCTTAATTAATATATGACATTACGTGAAAGATTATTTATGTGCTTTAATTAAAAGATATTAAAATGTGTTACACGCTTTAATCAGATAATAATAATACTTTATATTGTTACTTACTTTATAAAATAAGTAGGACTGATTTAAATGAGTTTTTATATAGTAACGATTATTTAGCTAAGTCAGCTTAAATCTACTACTTCCTGTAACAATGCTTACACGATCAAGAGTCTAAAATCACTAAAGAACAGTTAAAAGTGAGAAGTAATGACATGTATAGAGTAAAATAATATTTACAAATTGAACTTTATTTTTATTTTCCTGCCCTTGAAGATTTTTATTTAAATTTTAAATTATCGGTCTAGACAGGGTGACTGTTGATTTTGTAGAACTAAATCACTCTAATACATTTCTTAAATTCATTTTTTTTTTAATCGAATGATGTCCCCCATCTGATAAAATTTAATCCTAAATATGTTTATAAAATGTATCTGAAGAGATAACAAGTAATTTTTTGTGACCAACAATGGAGTTTTGTTTAGCGCTCCAAAGATTGAAGAATATCGACATTTCGACTGTCGATATAAATTTTTCGATCGTCGATAAATATCTACCGAGAAATTATAATACAGTGTAATATAAAAATTCGTTATTCATTATTATATAATAGATATTTCGTAAATAAGCATACATATATGATATTATTATATTTGTGAAACTGCATTTTTTCATATTTATTGTTTACATAATTAATAATACTAATAAAAATGCAGTTTTAAATAAAAATCGAATATCATTGATTTATAGATATGTCCTACAAAACATTATAAATTATAAAATTAATATTACATTATAAACTATTTTAGCAGTCACGTAAACTTCCTTAAGTCTATCGGTCTTGAATCATATTTTGTCGGTAAATGGGATATATATTTTTTATATTATTATCAATAAAATGTTTCATTTCGTATAGAATAAATTAGCATTCGATAATTACTCTTCTAATTAATTTCTTATAAATAATCGTGATTGAAATCTGTATTAACGTTTTATCTGAAAAATAAAGAATTAACATTAATATTATTACTAAATATACAATGAAATTAACTCAAAAGTAGTATGAAAGCAATATCAAATGAAAGATACATTTTTCATGTATAATAGGATAACTTTTACATCGGAATTTAGGATTTAGGTGCGTATAGCTCACTTGTAACTGGCTATATGGTTTGTCATTTACGTTCAATAAAAACGCGCGTGCGCCCTACACCGGTCCGAGATACCCTCGGATATCAGAATCGCACAGGGCTAGTGCTCAATGGTAAGAGTGAATTTTCTTATCACGGTCATATTCTTCTTGATTGTGTTCGTACGAAGTGATCTGTGACGCGTGGAAAATGGACGAATTTACTTGAACATCTTCGGCTTGTTTTGCGTAAGATCGGTGCTTGGCTCGAAGGTGTATAGGCGGAAACACAATCGAAGAGACGAGAATGGAAATGGAATGAAAGAGTGACTGGAGATTTAACGTTGTCACATTACTTTTGAAGGTTTTATATACATTTGTTTAGTTTAATTTATTATGATTTAATTTATTGTCGTATTTTTTTATTTAATGCTCTTTTTATGGTAATATCTTCTTAGTACATTATGATATTTCTATTTTTACTTTTTATTTTATTTGTCTATATTTAAGTTTAGATACAAATACATACATGTTGAAAAATATATATAAAATAAAAACTTACTATTTAAAAAATTATTTTTATCCTTAATATAATTTTTATAAAACTTGTTGCATATTTATCAATTTCGTTTATCTAAAAACAAAAAGATTTATGTTTTGATAAAAATAGCTCGCAAAATAGATTAGAGATTGTTATTTCTAAAATAATGGTATTAATAATTCAATAATCAATAATTTAGCTATATAAAACGTATTTAGGCGGTCTGTAATTTGTGTTGATTAAAATTTAGGCTGGAATTTTATTTATAATTTTATATGTTGTATAATATAGAAAACATTTGTAGAATTAAAATACACATACAAACACGTATATGAAATATATAAAATTACATATATCAAAACATACGGCATGTAAAATCATAGAGCTGTATTTTGAAATCTGACGTATTAATTAAGACTGTTTAAAGTTTTTAATTGATGTTACATATAACATCTAATAATTAACATTACAGCAATTACTGAAAATGGGGTTTATATTTTATAATTACAAAAAAATATTTTTTATTTCATTATACTTCTGTGATATTTCCTTTGTTTTTTTGTACGGTTCAAATTGTTTCTTTTTGTATTTGCTTATAAAATTATCTAAAATATTAGAAAGATATATATATGCAAGATATTGTAGTATATAGTAATATCGTAATAATATATTCGATAATAAATTCAAGTTCTTGTCAATTTATATTATTACTTTTATCATAAATCGAAATATTTTAATCCAGCTTTGTTACTTTACGAATTTACAGATGAGAGCATTGGACACAATTATGAATTCAACTTGCGCTTACTGTACACTTGAACCACCCCCCGACATCCTTCACATACCCCCGCCACCATTCCCGGCCATTCTTCAACAAGGTTCTGATTTTTATCCGAGTTCTGATATCCTGCCATTCCCACCACACTTAAATGACAGTCCTTGCAAGCACTTCTGCGACCGACGCTCCGAAGGAGTTCAATATATAGAAATGCCTCAACAAGGTTGGTAAAAAAACAACTATTTGCATAAGAAACTAAAACTTAATTAGTTTAATATATATTTAAATTTTTATTAAACTATTTTATATAAACGCATTAATACGGATAAAATTATTTTATATTTTATTTGAAAATTTTATATTTAAATTTAGATAAGTATAATATATGTACATAAATTTTTAGGGACCGTCTTTGACGATACATGGCTCCTGATTCTAATATCATCATGTGTTGGTGTCATTTTTATTGGCATAGTGCTTGCGACGTTGCTCTTAAAATGCAAATTGTAAGTATTTTATTTTACAGGGATAATTAATCTAAAATAATATATCAGTAAATATAATTCAGACTAGCAATTAAATAGCAAATATAAATTATAAATATAAATCATAATTTATCTTTAAAATTTTTATATTTGTTTGAAAGACATTGAAAATAAATTATATTGTTTACGTCTTTTACGATTGTAATATTGAAAGAAAATCGCGGATAAATAAAAATATATATACATATATCCGCAATGAATTAAAACAGCCAGATTACATTTATTCTTACATCAATTGCAATGTTATTTAATAACAAAATAATATTATCACAAATCAAATTTGAGGTAATTCAAATTGTCTAGCTCCGTGAAATCCTATCTCATTCAATTTTGCATAAAAAGTGCGAAATGAAACGAGCAATGAATATAATAGCAACAGGAACGGCAAAGGCGGGGTGATTTCTATGCCGAATGCAACCTCCAGTATGCAGACGAAAAATGGTAGGCTCCAGAACGAGGCGGTGCTCTACCCTTGCGCGGCGGACACCATGCAAGATAGTCGAGTTATGTGGGCTACCCTTACCCCACGCGGGACCACAAGACACTATTTGGAGGAGCATACGTACGAAACCATCGGGGGTGGGCAGTTCCATAAACGCTCCTGTACGACTACACCAACTGAACATGTAAAACTCAAGGCAATCTAACAATACGTTTATATTACACAATTGTCTGTTTCGTGCGTAAAGTCATCCTAAAAAGTTCTTTCGTGAGGCCTTTTACTCGTGGACATGCTTATCATTTTTCTAAATCTTTAATCAATTTGAAGTTCATTTTCCCTGATAAAAACATCAGAATAAATTTTTTAATAATTTTGAACGTTAAATATTTTTATCATTGATTGTTAAGTCACAGATTTCTCAAAGGAAAAATTAAACTAAATCGCAATTGAGATGAAATTAAATGTAGTTAAACGAAGAATAAGTATGAACATTTATCTATCTGTTTGCATCATATTGAATTTTTTTTTTTCAAATGAAAACCGCCCTTCGTTCTCAGTTGCTTATTGTTTAAGAACCATTGGCCTGTTAATATTTTAATAAAGAATGTCTCAAATATATATTTGCTTGTCAGATATCCAAGATACCCACATAAGATAATTTATTTCGTGTAAAACATA